CTCCGTTGCTCTCCTGTGTGCACCATCTTTTCTACACCAAGTAGAGTATCATGTGCTTGGACTTCCCAAAACTAGGAATGAAATAAATCAAGCCCACCTGACTCAATATCTGACCCTGGCTATTACACCGAGGCCTACAGAACCTTGAACCCAACACAGCGTCTGCCTCAGACCCAAGGTTAGGGATGGCTGTGTACTGGTTACTTTTCTGTTGCTGTGATAAAAGACCGTGGCCAAAGCCATTAACAGAAAGAAGAGTTTATTTAGACTTCAGTTCTGGAGGGGTAGGGTCCATCGGGTTGGGAGGCGTGGCAGCAGGCACGGTGGCTGGGGCAGGAAGCCGAGCTCTCACAGCGTGAAGCAGAGTGAGGTAAGGTGAGCTAGTAGGGCCAGGCTCCATAATAGCAAACCCCCCCTCCAGGACACACACCCTTCAACGAGGCTGCTCATCTTAGACCTCCCCAAAACAAGCGGGGACCACGTGTCCACATACTCGAGCCTATGGGGGATATTTCTCACCTGAAACACTACAGCTTGTTAAACAGAAAGATTACTGTGGGCTGGACTCTAGACACCAGTCATGTACTCTATGTGTCTGAGTAATTGGTTGACCTAACATTGAGGCAGGGTGTCTTTGGGTTACTATTGCTGGGAAGACACACCATGACCACGGCAACTCTTATACACTAAGACATTTAATTGGGGTGGCTTACAGTTCAGAGAATTAGTCCATTATCATCACATTGGGCGCATGGTGGCGTGCAGGCAGACATAGTGCTGGAGTAATAGCTGAGTCCTGTATCATGTAGCCAATAGGAAGTCAACTGAGACACTGGGCAATATTCTAGGCATAGGAAGCCCACCCCCACCGTGACACACTTCCTCCAACAAGGTCATCACCACTCCACACTCCCTATGAGATTATGGGGGCGGCCAATTACATTCAAACTACCACACATGGTCTTACGTGGCCCAGGCTGGACTTGAACTGTCTTAGGGTTACTATTGCTGTGAAGACACATCATGACCAAGGCAACTCTTAAAAAAGAAAGTACTTAATTGGAGCCTTGCTTATAGCTTTAGAGGTCTGGTCCATTATCACCATGGTGGGGTACGCGGGAGCATGCAGGCCCGCAGTGCTGAGCAGTGCTGAGAGCTTCACATCCTGACCCAGAGGCAGCAGGCAGCTAACTGGCTTGTGAAACCCAAAGCCCGCCCCCAGTGACACACCTCCTCTAACAAGGTCCCGTCCTTTAACCCTTCCAGCCCTTCTCAAGAGAACTCCTTGAGACTAAGCGTGCAAACCATGAGCCTATGGGAGCCGTTCTCTTTCAAACCACCACTGTGGATAAGACTGGCCTTGAACCCCTAATTCACTATACCACCGCAACTGGCACTTTATTTATTTCATTGTAGACCGGTCGCCTTGCCTCAGCCTCCCTCTGAGCAAATCAGCTCATGTCTTTCAGCTACATTAACAGCTGTCAGAGTGCAGAGAGCACTTCCAGGTCACCCTGAATGCCGCTCTGATGGAAATCTCTGTACGGTCGGCGACTTCAGTGAGCTTTTAGCCTCTGCCAAACACGATGGCAAGACCCTTTTATTTTTGCTGTCTCTAGTCATGTAAGGATGTGTGGGTTAAGGGGGGGTGGTACTCTGGTTGGAAGTTGCCGGTTCTCAGTGTGGAGGCAGCACTCTGGGAAGGTTGCTTGCTGTTTTTAAGCTGAGTAGGTTCCTGGGTGTCGGGGACTGAGGAAGGATCCTTTAAGCTCCCACCAAGGGAGCTAGTATGAGACACTAGGGTCTTTCTTTGGAGAAGGAATCGTAAGTAGGTAGCTGAAGGCCCTTGGCAGGACGATGGTCACCAAAGTAGTGACCACAGTAGATGCCACCCTCCTGGCGGGGAGGAAGGCACAGCCTCAGGATGGATGCCACGTACCTCAGTGTGCAGGCCCTCGTGCAGGCTGACCTGTGGATCTCAGGCACTTATGTCTGACTGACCACCATTCAGGAGGCAACAGACTCTTCAGGAAGCCAAGGTGTCTCAGAAGACAACAGCATCAGTGTAAAGTTACAGATCATCGTGGGTAACGCTGTGCCAGGGGCGTGGGCAGGAGCTGACTCTCTCCTTTTGGTTTTCTTTCTTCGCCAACCTCCTCTGCCATTGCTGTCAGGTGCCCGTTCACACAACACTCACCCTCAGTGATGGCTCCGCTAGGGCCTGCCCGAGGAGGGAGGAGGAAGTGCATGGAGTAGAGCCTAAGATTTCTCTCCTCAGTGGATTATCTCTCTGTGTGTGTGTGTCTGTCTCTGCCTTCTCTCTGTCTCTCTTCTCTCTGTGTGTCTCTGTCTCTCTCTGTCTCTCTCTCTGTCTTTGTCTGTCTGTCTGTCTCTTCCTCCCTCCCTCCCTCCCTCCCTCTCTCCAGGGTCTCACTAGGTAGCCTGGAACTCACTATGCAGACTGGGCTGGCCTCGGAATTCACAGAGGTCTGCCCATCTCTGCCTCTCTCTCAGTGCTTAAAGGCATTCACCACACGCATCCTGGCACGGTTTTTCCCAAGAAATCCAGAATTTATCTGTTCACCATGGGTTTCTTCATTCACCCTCTGGGCTGTGCATGGAACTGTTGAGTTTTCTTTGGGACTTGGAAGTTTTAATGCTGCATTCTTCTTCCGATGCTTGGGAAAGACTTTTGGAAAACAAGGTGCAACAGCAGCTAGAAACCAAAAGCAAATGGGCTGGGTTTGTTTCCTTCATGATCTGTGGGCCTTCGAGGAGGCCTTAGAACGTCCACCCTCAGGGCAGCATCCCTTCCAGTAGAAGGTGGGAAATGGAAGGGGGGGTCACTCTGTGGGTATGGGGAGGCAGATGCCGACTATCTTGACTGACAAAACCAGAGGAGAAATGAATAAACCAAAAAAAGACAAAGACAGCAAAACAGAACAGATAAAGTGATCATAAGTGCACAGATAATCTGTGTTTTACATCAAACTTTCTACTAGGGGGCATGGGTTGCCCTGCCTGCCAGCCACAGAAAGAAGATGGTGGGTAGATCCCCCCCACCCCCGAGGCAGCCCATGTCTCCCAGGGCGCCTGCTGGCTCTGACAGGGCTTCCAGTCTTCTGGCTGAGTAGCTTCTTTGGGCTCTATAGGTCTTGTTGCTTCCTCTTTCACAGCCACCCTGTGGCCGTCTGTTTCTGGGGAGCTCTGCCCCAGTAACAACCAGGAAAACCCAGAGACTGAGAATGAGGCCCATTTCCCGGAATCTCAGGTGCAGAGAGGGGAGGGGTGCAGACTTCTCGGACATGGGCTCCCCATTAGCTGAAAAAAAAATGCTGTCATGTGCCTTGCTTTCCTGGTCCGCTCCCAGGATAAGTCATGCAGCAGACACTTCTGCTTGTCCTCAAGGAAGGGCAGGGCTTCCACAGCCTGACCAAGGAGTCTCCCTGATCACACCCAGGACCCCAGAGGCAAGAGGTCTACCTGGGAGGTGCTTCCCCACCCGGGGCTCACTGGTGTGATGGAAGTGCATATCGTTTGTCAGCTTGACAAGACAGAGGACATCTTGGAAAAGATCTGGACACATCTATGAGGGATTTCCTAGGTTAGGTAAATTTAGGTGGGAAGCCTTTACCCTAAATGTTGACTGGGGTCCCTGTTGCATAGAAAGGAGAGGGTAAGCTAAGCATCCATTGCTCTCTGCTTCTTGGCTATGGACACAATGTGGCCAAAAAACTTCTCTCCTGCCTGACCGTCCCAGTTAGACACACAGCATCTCCAGGAACTGTGAGCCAGACAAACCCTTCCATCCTCAAGCTACTTTTGTGAGGTGTTTTGCAAAAGCAACCAGACAAGCATCTGACACAGAGCTCATTTGGCGCCAGCCACAGAGGCTGCATTGGATCCTTAGCCACATAATTCCCGTTGGTGTCTTGTCACCTGAGCGCTTGCAGTCATCTGGAGGCAAGATCTGTCAGTCCAGGTATCTCTTCCTTTCTGAAGCTCACCGCATTGGCACTGTGACTTGGTCACGTGGTCCTTGGCCCACCATGGGGCAAAGTAGCCATTTTATTGATTCCCCCACAGAGCTCATAGGGCATCTCCTTTTCTAAATTGTTTCTCCAGGGTACTCACCCAAGAAATAATAACAAGCACGCCTCTCTGCTGTGTAATTAATAACCCCTAAACTCAACAAGTTGGGATGCTGCTCTGTTTGTTCAGGCTGGCTTCAAACCCCTGGACTTAAGCAATCCTCCTGCCTCAGGTTCCTATGTAGCTGGGTTGTGTACTGCTGTGCCTGGCAGGAGTAGATCGTGTTACTTCACAGTTTCTGTGTGTGGCTGGCTCAGGAACTCTGGTTGGTGGCTCTGGTTCTGTCTCTCCGGAGCTATCTGTGACCTGAGGTTGAGGATTTAACTTCAAGATGGCACACATGGCTGTTAGGGTGGGCTGGCTCTTAGTAGGAAGCTTAAGCTCCTAAGGCATTACTTTAATTACTTAGTGTAAAGTAAGTTTTAAGATGTAATTAGATGAGTACGATTCTGGGCCAGGTACAGGGCAAGGGCAACAGAGGAGGTGGACAGGGACACGGGAGGGAAGGGGAAGAGGCTTTCGGTGAGTGGACTCTTGACTCCAAGAAGCAAGTAGCTCAGTGGGGATTTAAAGGTACCCACAGAAGACACTCAAGATCAAGGAATGGAATTGAACCAGTTTCATGCCCAGAGCATTCCACGGTGGCGACAGAGCTCTAACCTCAGGAGAATCACAACTGGAGCTAGAACAAACAGGACTGGCACCATCTTGCCTGGATTCCTAAAATGGACTGACAGCACCAGGAGTATGGGCAGTGGTGGATTCTGGGAATATAGCAACAGGATCAGATGCTCAACAGTTCTCCCCTCCCTACCCCCCCCCTCCTCTTCCCTCCCTCCCTCCTATATTTACAATACTGGGGACTGAACCTAGAGCCTCATATGCATGGAAGCACTTTACCACTGAGCTACATGCCCATCCTAGTGATTTTTTTTCCTGAACAGGGTCATTATATCAAAAGCCCAAGATAGAGTAGACATTTGAAGGTGGTTCCCGCCCTCCCGAGGAGAGTCCACCCTAAAAGTCTGCAGCACCGGTCCCTGGCTGCGTAAAGGAAGAGGTTGGTTCACCGTGGGCATTCTTCAGTTCTTTTATACCGTGTGGCTCACATTCCAGGTCAGGGTCCGTCATAGCAGGGAAGTCCGTGGGGGACCCAGGGGGAGCTCATCAAAGGTGCACACCAACGCTCACTTTCTCTACCTTACCTCAGATGGAAGCTGGGCCTTGCAGGCAGGCCTCTGGACTGTTGGAGACACCACAGCCAGAGCCCCCTCACTGGAGCCTTGGCCAGGACAGTGTGGCCTTGAAGTATGTGAAGCCAAGTGCCCCCCTCCCCCACACTTGTGGTATGCGAAGCTCTGGGGGCTGAGCTGGGTGAGCATTTTCTGGCTTTGAGAGAGCTCTCTTCTACTAACAGAGAACCTCTCAGGCCAGTCTCCCACCTCCCCAGCGTCCTTGACTTTTGTGTTTGGGCCAGCAGGAAAAAAAGCCCTTGGCTTGGCTCCTTGTCTGTCAGGAATCCAACATTTCCAGGGGGCTTGCTTGGTTTCAAGCAGTGCCCTTGCTTTTCCTCACTGTAGCCCAGCTTTAGCCAGGGTTTCTTGGCTCTGGGTAAGATTGAATGCTCAAGTCTGTGCTGCATTTGCAGCTGCCCTGTCCCTGCTTGGGCGACAGTCTCAGGCCTCCCTGCCAGCCCGGCCCATGCTGCAGGGCCAGCAGAGGCCCTTCATGAGGCTGTCCTGGAGTGTGGAAGGGAGATACCCCTACGTTCCTCCTCCGCCCTGCGTCCTGCCTTCACACCAGCACAGCCCAGGGTGAGCGGAGAGGCACTGGCTTCCGAGAGTACACTAGCCGTCACAAGGCCTAGCAAAGAGTCAAAGAGTGAACTGCCAACCCTAAACAGCCCTGGCCCCAACCGCTTCCAAGTCAGACTGGACCAGCTCAGCACCTGGTGTGGCCTTCATGGAACTTTGCAGCTGATCTTTCCCCACAGGGCTTGGCAAGGCCGTGAAGATCTGGAACCAAAAGAACTCAGCTGTCCTGCAGTGCGCCAGGATCTGCCTGCCTTGGGGCTTCTCCCTCCCTCCCTCCCTCCCTCCCTCCCTCCCTCCCTCCCTCCCTCCCTCCCTCCCTCCCTCCCTCCCTCCCTCCCTCTCTCCCTTCCTCCCTTTCCCCCCCCAGACCTCAAGCTCTACCTGCCAAGGAACTCCTTCCTGGATTCCCCAGGGGCTTTCTGCAGTCCCCCAAGCCACTGCAAGGCCACCAGGCCCTAGAGTCCAAGGGTCAAGAATGAATTTACAGCTTGCTTTGGCGACCCATAGCTGCAAAAGAGTCTGAGCCACGGCTATAGTTTACAGGAACCAGCTGGCCACCAGTTTAGGACAGGAACACAGAAGCAAAGAACTTAGGGACCCCCATGTGTCACCAAAGGTGATCTGTGCATGCCTCCACTCGAGCAGAAGGCTGCACACGAAGGTGCCCTTCTCTCCTTGAGACTGTAAGGTGTGACCCAGAGCTCTGCCTGTTCTGGGGCATCATGGCCTACGAGCAGATAAATACACAGGTGTTTGGAGCCTAAGGAAAGTAAGTGTCACCAGTGTGCAGTTGTCACTGGCTATGGAGGAAAAGAAGTTGTGGGGGGTGTTGGGGTTGGGTGTGGGGGTGTCTCTGACAGTTCTCATCTTTGTTTGGGAGACAAAGCAGGTCATACAAATGCTGCCTTCCATCGTTCAAGGTCAACCTCTACATTCAGCCTCCTTATCCCAGGGCTGCCCAAACCCAAGGACTGACTGACTTGAGCACTACAAAGATGAAGGGCCTCCTTCGACGCTTGGTACCCAAGGAGTTCCCTCATCCTCCAGCAGCATAGCAGGGAGTCTCCCACAGCCTTCATCCTTGACTCACCCACCCGACTGATGGGCGGTCCAGCTGGTCCTGGCCTCAACTACAGACGAGGAAACTGAGTTTCTAGGCCTGCCCCAGGTCTGTGGGCAGGAAAACAGGGGAGCAAGGAGGCCGTGCACCCAGAGCCCTCCGATGCTGCCGAGAACTGCGTGAGGTGACAAGCAGGGGATGAGGCACCCCTGCCCCTAGCACCCACCGGCAGTCCCCAGACCCCAGCTCTAACCCCGTGGCTCCTCAGCCCAGAACTGCGCTGCTATTACTGGGAGCAGGCAGCCTGGTTGCTGAGGGGACGCCGGATTGCGTGTATCCCACGGGGCAGGCAGCCTGGTTGCTGAGGGGACGCCGGATTGCGTGTATCCCACTGTGCTGGCACACTGCGCGGACCTGGGCAGGCACAACGTGGTCTCACATGGTGTCCGCCCAGGTTGGTGTCCAACGAGGGAAGAAACCCACTCCAAAGCAGAGATCTGAAGACACCAGGAACTAGAGGGCGAGGCTAGGAATCACAGCCGGACAAAGTGACAGGGGTTTCTGGAAAGGAAGCTCTGCTTCTCCTCAGCGGTCTAGGAGGCTTCCGGAAGGGTCAAATATGGATGCCCTGTGCTCCCTGATGCGTGCTACCCGGCCCAGGGCTGCCCATAGGCAGGAGTGCGGTCCCGTCAGACCTGAAGTCCTCTCCTCAGCACTGCTCCCCAGCCGGCTGCAGAGCATCGCCAACCATCCAGTGCTTCAGCAAGTCTTGACCTTTGACTTCTGAGACCTTCATCTTCTTCTGTCTGAAGTCTGCTGGCCCTTGGGGAAATCCGCGTCCTCACAGCCATCTCCAAGAGGCCAAGCACCTTGGACCCCAGTATATGGTTCCAAATCCTGGCCCCCTAGGGCAGTGAAAAACTACTTAGCACACAGCATCACGGCACTGCACTCAGAGAGTTTCCAAACAAAGGGAAGGCACCCAAAAGCCCAGTTCCACAATCTTGGCGGCTACTGCAGCTCCCCCCTCCCAAAGCTGCCAGCTGCCCAAGTCCCACCCTAAGGGCTCAGTTTTTTTAAAAACATACTTGGGCATAAACCCAGCTTGTGTTGGACGTGTCATCATCCCTCACCTACAACCTATAAAGTCTCCCTGCTTTAGTTTGGGTGTGTGACTTCTCTGACTTTGCTCTCTGGGACTGGAGAACCCCCAGGAGTTGCTCTGCTCAAATATACCTGTTTTTTTAAAAACACTTTTTCAATGTGGCTTGAGCCGGCTTACTGCATTGGTGGAGAAACTTATGGGTGTGTGTGGGGTGGGGGTGGAGGGGAGAAAACCTATTATCTGTCTGTCCACAAGGAATGAGACACAACACCAGGAATAAAGAAGCCAAGTGAGCCGGAGGTCAGAAGTTCAAGGCCACCCTCAGCTATATATGGGCTCCAGCCACTTGGGCTGCACACACACACACACATACACACACACACACACACACACACACACACAAACAGAGAGAGAGAGAGAGAGAGAGAGAGAGAGAGAGAGAGAGAGAGAGAGAGAGAGAGAGAGAGAGAGAGAGAGATTTTACTTATGCCAGTTAATAGGCTCATCAAATGTGCTGTCTTGTGGTGACAGTCAGGGAGCTGCGTGGCAGAACCAGGGGAATAGGATACATCTTTGTATTGTCTACTACCTAAGAAGGCTCTAACACAATAAGATCATTTTTAAAACTGAAACTGAATGTCATAGAACTCATGCCTGTAATTAATGCTAACCTTGGACAACATAGCATGACTGGCCTCAAAAATAAATAAATAAATAAACAAAATTTAATTTTGTTGTTGTTGTTATTTTGTTTTTTCCAAAGCAGGGTTTCTCTGTGTACTCCTGGCTATCCTGGAACTCTGTAGACCAGGCTGACCTCCAACTCACTGATCCACTTGCCTCTGCTTCCCAAGGGCTAGGATTAAAAGCATTTACTACCACTGCCTTGCACAAAATTAAATTTAAAACTTTTAAGTAGGGCTGGAGATATGGCTCAGCGGTTAAGAGCACTGACTGTTCTTCCGGAGGTCCTGAGTTCAATTCCCGGCAACCACATGCTGGCTCACAACCACCTTGAATGAGATCTGGTGCCCTCCACTGGCATGCAGGCAGAAGACTGTATACACAATAAACAAATAAAATATTAAAAAAGCTTTTAAATAACTTCTGTTCCTTCAGAATGTGTGTCACTAGGCACTGGCCACCACCCTCTTGTTCTGGTCATTCATCGCCCCTGAACACTGCCATGTGTCTGCTTGGTAAGGATGACCTTGAATTCCTGACCTTTCTGCCTCTGCCTCCCAAGTGCTGAGATTGGGGTCAGACAAAAGACCCCGCAGGTAAGGGTGCTTAAGCCAAGCCAGGACCAGTTCTTCAGATAAGAGCTGAGAAATAGGGGGATGGGTGGGAACGACACACCCTTTACCTGGAGCAAGTGCTGGGATTACAGGTGTCCACCACCACACTCCGACAGTGCCCCTCAATCTAAGAGCAGGCAAGACCCCCTGAGGGTGGCTGCTTTCTCTACTCTGCTAAGCTCTGCCTCCAGACAGACCTTTCCTTCTTTTGGAGCATTTATGAGATCTTCGGGTCCTAGGAACCCGTATGGTGGAGGCATCTGGTGGAGCATCACTGCACCTTAGTTAGTGGGTGCTAGCCCTTTCTCCTAAGCCCTTTCACCTTCCCCGCCCTGCCCCCTTCTCCAGGGTTTTACTGTGTAGCCCAGGCTGGACTCGAACTCAAAGCCTCTGGCATTGCGGGCATGTGCACTATACACAGCCTGCTTTAATTTCTTCACAGTACCCACCCACATATAAAACAGTTTGACTTTGTGTCCACACTGCTCTTTCAATTAAAATAGAGAATACTGGGGTAGGGGAGGTGTCTCGCTTGGGAAAGTGCCTGTCATACAAGCCTGAGGACAGGAACCCGGGTCTCCAGCACCAATGTAAAACTGTCACAGCACATATGTAACCCCAGTGGGTTGCAGACTCTGCGTGTGCCGACAGGGTAGATCCCCGGAACTCACTGGTCAGCAGGCCTGGAGGAATCAGCGACTCCATAGTTTACTGAGAGATTGTTCTAGCTCCTTCCTTTGATGATGTAACATGATTCCTGACAAAAGTAGCATAGCAGTGTACAGTGCCATCACTGTAGGGGACCAGGGCAACCAGAACTTGAAGGAGCTGGTCACATTGAGTCTGTCCGCAGTCAGCAAAAGGAGAGGAATGGATAGTCAGAATTAGCTAGCTTCCTCCGTTATGTGCAGCCCAGGACCCAAACCCAGGGAACTACAAAACCACCCATGTCAACGAACTCAATCAGGATAATCTCTCACGGGTTTGGCCAGAGGCCAATCTAATATGATCCCTCCTAGGCGCCTGGAGCTGGGCCTTCTAGGTGATTCCCAATCCTGTCAAGGTGACAATCCACATTGATCATCCCAGGGACATCTCAAGTAGAGAATGATCAAGGAAGACACCAATATTGACACCTGGCCTCCTCAGACATGTCCACCACATGAACAGGTGTGCACCCACACACTTAAATATATATCCACGTCCACGCACATGCTGTTTGAAATCCTGGGCTGGGGCTGTAACACAGTAGTGCCTGGCTAGCGTGTGTGAGGCTCTGAGCACCATCCCTACCACTGCAGCAAATGCGCTGACAAGGGCGACTGTTTGCCTGGCTCAGTCCCAGGACCTGGGGCACTCTGGGCTCAGTGGATTTGACGGAAACACTCGTTGATGTTCGAACTGACTGGAGAAGGAACACCAAACCCAGCTGTGAGGATGGGCTGAGTGTCTCAGGACTGGAGAGGGAAGCCGGAGAGTTCCCTTTATCCCAGGGGCAGGCTGTGGCCAGGAGAGTGGGCAGGGTAAGTGGAAGATAAAATAAACCCTCGCATCCCTGCAGGTCTGTTGGCAGCGCTGCTGAGGAGGTCGGATAAAGGAGCAGGGAATTCCTAGCAAGGGTTTCAGGATGATCGATAGGCGGTAGGCTATCCCCGGCGTCCTTAACGAAGCTCCCTCTCGTGGGAGCCCAGGATTTCAGAAGACAAAGACATTCACGAGAGTCTGAGATCCGCGGGAAACCAGGGATTGGTCCCCTCGGATTTCAGATGTGAGGGAAGCCCATTACCCAGCCTTATAGGGACCAGCACTGAGTCCCTGTTTCCGAAGGTCTCCCTAGGCAATTAAGGACTTGCTGGCAGCGCGCACAGCAGGCGCTCACACACGCAGACTGGAGCCCAGCGTCCCAGCCCCGCGCGGCACACGCCGCTCACACGCGGGGCTGCGTCCTTTCTATTCATCCTGTGGCGCATCACAGGCTTCTACAGACCCCACCCCAAGGATGCCTTCCTAGCCCCTCCACCCAATTCCTAGTTCCGCTGTCAGGGTTGAACAAAAGGCCTGCGGAGTGGCATCCTGAGTTAAAGGTTTTTTTGTTTTGTTTTTAACTCTGCCAACCCCGGGAGGCTCCGACGGTGGGAGAATGGTGACTGAGACCTCTCCCCAGGCTGCTGAGGTTTGCATTCGCCTCTGTCCCCGGGCCTTCGTCCCGATTCGTGACCATCCTCCTCCCCCCGGGGGGCGGAGGGGGTTCTCTGTGCAGCCATGGCTGTCCTGGTACTCTGTGGACCAGGCTGGCCTCGAAACCAGCGATGAGCCCTGGGTTTAATGGCGCGCGCCTCCCCGCCGGGCTTTGTTTCCCTTTTTTAAGGACAAGTTTCCAACCGGACACTCCCCAGGATGTCCCCAGAGGACTCCCAGAGGTCCGGATGACTTTTCGCGGTGTGGGACGGGAGCCATTCCCATCGGGTCTTCCCTACAGCTCGGTTGAGACATCCTGGCCCAGGACTGGTAGGGGAGGGCAGCGGGGGGGGGGGCGTTCTGGAACAAATCTGCATTGGTACACAAACCCCGCTCGGCCCACCGGGCGTTAAAGTTAGCCTCACCTCAACCCGGGCTAAATTCTCCACCAGAGATCGAGCTGGAAGAGAAACGCGCTGGGGAAAGAGCCAGAGCTGCAGACGCTGTATTTAAAGAGCACGCGCGCGCGCGCGCGCGCACACACACACACACACACACACACACACACACACACACACACACACACACACACACACACACACACACACACACAGTCGCCTGCCAGCCGCTTTTCAAAGCGGCGGCTCAGCGCCCTCTGGCGGCCGCGAGGGCCCTTGCGAGCCCGGCACGCCCGCTAGCCATGCGCCCAAGAGCCCTCGGAGCCCGTGCAAGGCAGATGGATGGGAAGTGCCCACTCAGTTCTGGGAAACGCCAAGGGCCAAGGAAAGGGCCCTCCCCAAAGGGAAGCCCTGGTTTCACTTTTGTTTTAGTTTTTCCAGACAGGGTTTCTCTGTTTAGCCCTGGATGTCCGGGAAGACCTCGAACCCAGAGCCTCGGCCTCCCAAGCGCTGGGATTAACGGTATGCGCCACCATGCCGGGGGCTCCTTGTTCCATTTTCAACGGATGCCTGAACTCTTACTGACACAGCACCACCCCTTTTCCTGCAGTTTGGTTTCTTTTCGTACAGGTATGTGGCCGAGGTTGGCCTTGAATTCCCGTGCACAAGCCACCCTTCCACCCCGCCCCCCTGGAGAAGCTTGGACTATACGCATGTGCTCTGTGGTGACGACACTTAACAGTAGCGTTTACTCTTTCTACTTCAAATACCAGCGCAGTTTGAAGATCCCTGCTCTCTGGCCACTCTCTCCTTTTTTTCTCTTTCTTTTCTTTTTCTTTTTGTTCCCCTGGCTTTGAGTGGTTTGTCCCTCATACTACCTACACATTTCTCTCCTTTCCTCATGCTGGGTCAGTGAAGTGTAGACTCAACACCCTTGTCATAGACCAGAGCCCTGCAGTAGCCCGCTGATGTGATGGGACCCCTCCTATGGCTCTCAGGACTCAGAGGTGTCCACTGGAGCCCCTCTTAGGTCCTTTATGGCCAAGTGGGTAATTCTGTCTGCCGGGAGGCAGCCATCTGTGTTGACCAAGACTGTTGTGTCCCCGCCCTCCTCAGCTTCATCTCTGTACCCGAATTTCTCTCCACTCCTCAGGCAGGCTCTCCCCATCTCCCCTCTTTTCCCAGCCAAAGGTCCCTCTTTTTTTTTTTTTTTAATGAGACAGGGTTTCTCTGTATTGTTTTGGAGGCTGTTGGTCCAGCCTGGCCTTGAACTCACAGAGATCCACCTGCCTCTGCTTCCCGAGTGCTGGGATTAAAGGTGTGCGCCACCACCGCCCGGCTCCAAAGGTCCCTCTTTATCCACAGTGTCTGGTGGGATTCCTCCAACTTCACATCTTCCTTCTCCTTGAGGGGGTTTCTTGTTTTATCAGTTATACATTGCCACATAGCAGGCCAGCCAGGGGCTTAAACGCTATGGCTTCAAACAATAAACATTATTCGCTTCAGAGTCCATGGGCCAGCTGGGGGAGCCTTCCAACCTGGCTCTGCTACTGTTTACATGGTGATCTGGCAGGGTACATTTGGTGCTTGGTTAGCTGATGCCTAAAGTAAAAAAGGTGACCGGGTCACCTGTGCCCGTGCAGCAGGCTGGTCTGCCTCAGGCTTCTCCCCATGGCAAGAGCCCAAGGAGGGGAGTGCAAAAGCTAGCTTGGACTTTTTGAACCCCAGGCCTGGAAGGGACACATGCTCACTTCTGCCATGTAGCTCGGTGTCAAACAAGTCACAAGGCCAGACCAAACACAGAGGGACTTCAGCTCTCAGCCGCTTTAGTCTGGAGAGGTGGCTCAGCCATCAGAGGCTGGGCTCACACTCCCAGACAGGAGGTCTGCAGCGTGCCCACACTTTCCTCCTGGAGGTTCATTGCCGAGTAGTACGTTTTTGTAAATGAATCTATGTTAAGTACTAGGCAGTGTCCCGTTCAGCCTTGTGCCCGCAGGTGATGGCTGGCTCCCAAGACCGTTGAGGCCACCAACACAACCGTTACTGCTGGCACTGGCAGCCCCACACTGCCAACAACACTGGTGGCACTTGGCATTTACACGCCCTATGGAGGCACTGGGGTAAGTGGCCTGGTCTGTGGGAGCCTGCCTGGCTGGAAGTGGAACCCTGCTGTCACAGGCTCACTGTCTGCCACTGAAGTCGAGGACAGCTGCTGGTGGCTCCTCTTCCTGTGGTGGCGGGAGAGCAACGCTGACAGCTCGGCTTCCGTTTCTCATCTGTGAATAGGAGTGGCCACAGAGCCCCATGCAGAGCACGCTGGCAGGGCCAAGAGTCCCTGTTTAAAAGGGCTTTGGGACTCACACCTGGGGACGCCCCTGCCAGGCGGCATTGCTGCCACTTGCACAGCCCTTTCCCGGACGCCCCCTCCAGTCCACATAAACGGAAGGGAAGGCATGAGACCTTCTGAGGTTGCTTTAGCATCCGTCCAGGCCACGCCTGCTAAGCCCACACCCTTGTTTAATTTTAAACCCAATATTTAACCCAGGACTTGGCGCCATAGGTATGTATGTAGGCTAGTTTTACCTCAGCTTGACTCAAGCTAGAGTCATTTGGGAAGAGGGTCTCTCAATTGAGAACCTGCCTCCCTAAGACTGGCCTGTAGGCAAGTCTAGAGTGTTTTCTTCATTAGTGATTGACATGAGCCGGCCCAGCCCATTGTGGGTGGGGCCACGCGGGGACAGATGGCCCTGAGTGGCATAAGGTGGCAGGCTGAGCAAGCCATGGGGAGCAGGTCAGTAAGGAACACTCCTCCACAGCTTCCCTTCTGTTTCTGCCTTTAGGTTCCTGCCCCAGCTTCCCTCAGTAATGCACGATTAGCTGTGAGGCGAAATTAACCCTGTCCTCCCCAAGTTGCTTTTGGTCACGGTGTTTACCGCAGCAGTATAGACACTAAGTGTGCCATAAAATCCTTGGTGAATGCCACTGGGCGTTGGTGGCGCACGCCTTTAATCCCAGCACTCGGGAGGCAGAAGCAGGTAGATCTCTGTGAGTTCGAGGCCATCCTGGTCTACAAAGCGAGTTCCAGGAAAGCCTCCAAAACAATACAGAGAAACCCTGCCTCGAAAAAACAAAAAACAAAAAACAAAACAAAACAAAACAAAAAAACAAAACAAAAAATCCTTGGTGAAAGAGGAATGGAAGAGGGCTTTGTTCTGACAAAGGCCAAGCAGATGGGAACGTCAAAACACTCTGAATTTTGAAACTTTTAAAGAGATTTTTGTCTTGCCACAGCTGGCCTTGAACTTCTGAGTTATACTCCTGTCTCAGAGTAGTCAGGGCTGTTGGGAAAAAGTTTTGAATTTTGGAGCACTTAGGTCAACTGGTAAAGTCTACACAAATACTCCAAAATCTGAACTACTCTGAAATCCAAAGGTCCCTGGCCTTTTTGATAAGGGACCCTCAACCCATAATCTCTCTTCTTTGGGTTAGAACACTTCTGTTAGGTTCCCAACCCAAGTCTACTCATGATGGCCTAAAGGGAAGATATTCCTGAGAACTGGGAGGAGGGGCCACCTCCACTTGGCCACCGTCAGTCACCAGAAAGAAGACAGAACAGGTGAGGGCTGGCTGGCTGTGCCTCACCCAGAGGTGCCCTGACCTGTGTGCCCGTCATTTTCATGCTCTCTCCCAGCCTCAGCCCTTCAGAGTTGATGGTGAAGAACCCGGACTCTGCTGAAGGCTTCCCATGAAGTTCAGACCACAGAAAATGATGGCATCATGATAAGGGACAGTGTGTCACCATGTGTGCCCAGGCACCACTGATGTGTGTCGAGCATTTCACAGAGCAAGTTCACAGACACACGTGTGTCCTGCAGAGCGAGAGCAGAGACAAAAGTATGGAGCAGTGAGATTGGAGGTGGTGTGTGTGTGTGTGTGTGTGTGTAGGGGGGTGTTGAAGAACACATCCTAGGGCCTCAGGGCTCTTCCCTGCAGCCAGGATGCTGGAGTCCTGTGAGAGATCTGTGGGCAGTGGTCACTCAGACCTAGGCCAGGGAAGGGGTTCTTCCGTGACGATGGGAGAACGTGTCCTGGACAGGCAGGGAAGAGCACGGATGTGGAGCTGTGTCAAGGCTGAGCAGGGACAGCACGGATGGGAGCTGTGTCAAGGCCGAGCACGGAGAGCACGGATGGAGCTGTGTCCTTTGTCTGCTTCTGTTTTTTCCTGTTTCACCTGCAGTCGGGTTCTTCCTCGAGGTAAGTGTACACTAGTCCTATGGCTGATTCAGAGTCTCAGTGTGTGGATGACAAAGGAGTTAAGGCTGAGGTGGTGCCGATTCCGGACATGACCGTGGAGGGACATAAGGGGCTCCCAGGCCTCTATGTCAGAACTAACTGCCTGAAAACACCAACCTAGTCAGGTGTGGTGGCACTCGCCTTTAATCCTGGGACTCAGGAAGCAAAGGCAGGAGGATCTCTGGGTTTAAAGCCAGCCTGGTCTACACAGTGAGCCCCAGGCCAGCCAAAGATACACAGTGAGACTCTGTCTGGGGAGGGAGGATCCCCACCTATCTGATTTCTAAGTATTGGGCTCTCAAGTTGCTTTAGGAAATTCAGGTTTTTATTTTAACTTATTTATATGATTTATTTTATTTTTGTGTGTATAGGGTATGTTCATGTGAGTATCAGAGGGTGTGGGGTCCCCTGGGGCTGGAGTTACAGGCAGCTGTGAGCTGCTCAGCCTGGGTGCTGGGAACCAAACTTGGGTCCTCACAAGAGCAGTATATGCTCTTAACCACTGAGCCATCTGTCCAGTTTCAGAAATTCAGGTTTTTAAATGTGTGGCTCAGGTGACCCCATAATGTCCAAAAAACAGAAGGCTTTAGTTCAGTTGACAGCCCAAGAGAGATTAGGCCAGAGGCTCCATGACTTGGGGGTGTCAGAATAGCTGAGGGCTTTAAAAGTCAAGTTCTGGCTCCTAGTTTATCCAAGGTGGCCCAGGAACCAGTATTACTAGGAATTTGCTCAGATAATTAATGCTCACTCAGTGTTGTTTCCCGTAGAGAGAATTAGCTGGAAAGCAACTTTTCTAACCTAAGTCCCTTTGAGGTACTGTCTT